CTCACTTAAATCTTATATAAAAATGCAGAAAAGTACACACACACATTCACACAGAGACACACATGCTAAAGCAACTGAATGTGGACTTTCTTTAGACGAAATATCAAAACATCCAAAGATTCATAAATCTCAATTTTAAAAAGTTCTACCCCTTAAAAAAAACTTAGAAAGAAATACAACAATATGCCACCAGATACTATTATTGGATAATTGGTTCATGGGTGGTTTTTATTTTGTAGTTTATATTTTTCTCTATTTCTCAGTTTTTTAAATGTTGAAAAGGAAAACATTAATTTAAAAAATTTTTTTAAAGTTCTGATATCTAAAGATGAACAAAGTATAATAATGGAGGTGAAATAATGTATAATATAAATAATAAATGAGTAAGTAGTTTAAAAATATCCTTCCCAAGGTTGTTTTCAAGAGCAGCTGAGAAAGAGCTCTAAGTTCAAAAAAATGAAATAAATATATTGAATCAACATATTAAATATTGTTTCTCCTTTGTGCTTTTGCTCAGTCCTTAGGCCTAAAATGTTCTTCACATCCAATTTCCACTCATTTAAGTATTAGTTGTTCAAGGTCCAAGTCAAATGCTAAGTCCAACTTGAAGATTTCTCTGATTCAAAACTGGAAAATCTATCCTTTTCTTTTTCTCCTTCGCTTATTTGTGACTCTCTTAATTTATAATTTATTGAAAATAAGATGTTGAGCACCAGCCTTTACCCTAAGTATAAGGATACAATAATTTGAGAGACAGAGAGAGACAGAAGAGAGCAAGAGCTTATTTGCATGGGAATTGTACAGGCTGGACACTTGCTACGCAATGTCATTATTCTGTTCTGACAGTGTTGCAGTGTAGAGGAAGTATAAAACAATTTCAGAAAGGCTTCCTGAAGGAGTCCATTTGGAAGAATGATCGAAGAAAGAAAAAAATGGTAAGCAGGTATTCCGAAGGAGAAGTGAAGATACGGAATACAAAGTCAGGTAAAAGGAACAAATTCACAAGGCATCCAGGTTTCACCATCTCTGTTGCCCTCTCTGAAGAAATCATTTTCTCAATAAAGCAGCAATTGGTACGACAAAAGCATTGTTTCCTCCACCCATCCAATTGCTCAAGCCAGAAACCAGAAACTCATCTCTGATTCGACCCTGCCTCTCGTTCACATCATTCAATCACGAATTTCCATAAATGCTGCTTATGTTCTGGGCCCGGGCAGGGGGCTCTGTTCTTAAGTTCAACTAAGCATTCAGATTGACACTTGACACTAGTCTCCTCAGATGGAAATGGAACAGGAGCCGCATCCTGCCAGCAGGGTGGCCTCAAGCATCTTCTCCACGGGAGTCCTTGCAGCAGCTCAGGAGGATGACAGCCCGTACAGTTGTCTGGGGATTACTTTCTCTTCATGTAACACAACCCAGACACACGGAGATGAGATCCACATTGCACAGATGTTGAGGCTTCCCTGGCTGAGAGGAAGCCTCATGCCCTAGAGGAACCCAAACCTCTCCTAATCATTCCTTAAGCATAGCTCCAGGGACATGCCTGTTGGTAGAGTTATGGCACTTACCGAAGCCAAAAGCATGGCATTCCCATCAGCCTTCTATAGTTCACTCATAATCCCTCCTGATCTAGTTGAAATTTATCCAGCATAGGTCATTATTGCCCCGAACAATGTGGCCTGGTAATACTGGCATGTACCATCTCTGTCTGTCTCCAGGGAACCTGAGCTAGGAGTTTAACAGAAAGGTGGAGTCTCTTGCAGGAGGGTGAAGAGCATTGTTAGCCTGTTATCCACACTGCTTCTGACACTTTCTCCAGCACACCCAAGTACTTCTACCTCTCCTGTCGTCCATCTAGCTAAAGCACGTTTGCCTCTCGTCAGGACTCATCTTCTAACGTCTATGTTCACCTACCAACCCCACAAATACACATACTCCTCCCAGCAATCCATACTTCCCCTGACAGCCACAGTTACTTTTTAAAATACCGCAATCATGCTATCTCCTTGTGTAAGCCCTTCTTTGGTTTCCTGTTATCCTCTGAGTGAAGCCCCAAGTCATTAACATGGTTTACAAGATGTGTCACACACTTTTGCTTTCATCAGAAATCAATCACGCAGGGTTTCTCTCCGGGCCTCATATGTTCTTCACAGATAGCACACTCTCCTTTCCCCCACACAACTCAGCTCATGCTGCTCTCTCTGACTGCGATGCCCCGTTCCCCACTCCCTCTCACCTGGCTGAATTCTGTGCGTCCCGTTACTACCAAGTGTGGTTGTGACGCGGAGATGCGTGTAGAGTACGTGGTCTGCACAATACAGCTGTTACTCAGATATGGAGGTATCGGAGAAGCTTTCCTTAGCTTCTGTTCTATGTCACCTTACCCCATTACATATGTTTCCATTGACCTAGTGCTTCTCCTTCAGACCATTCATCTCACTGTCATTCCTTTGTCAATGTCCCCCCTTCAAGTTCAACCATAAACCCCAAGAGAGCTGATGCTCTGCCCTGCTCACAACTGAATCTCCAACATTGGCACACAGTAGGTGCTCAATAAATATTTGTTGAATTAACAAAGAAATGATTACTCCAGTTTCCACAATGTATAAATTGGAGGGATTTCCACATTGAAATATTTCATTACAAATTGAAAAGAAGAATCTGAAGCCGAGGAGAATGCCTGGTGCTACGAAACCATCCTGAGAGACATGGATCTAAAGATGAAAATGGAAGGGACTGAGATTACTCAAGGGCCACAAAAAGCAGGCAGAAAAGATATCCAAAAGCCATTTCCAGGTAAATACTAAGATGTATTGGTAACCTCTAGGAGATGAGCAAGAAAAAGAAATTGATTATGAGAAAAGTGGGGAAAGAAACAGGTGGGAAGGAGGCCCAGGGAGGAGAACATTTTATGGGAGTTTCAGAGAGAAGCACCTGCAACTCCATGCTGAAATGCGGCCATGTAGAAAGAGAGCTGAATATTGCCTGTGACCTGGGAGGCAGGCCGATGTGGCTGGGGAATTAGTGCCTCTGAGGAGCAGGGCTGGACTAACAACTAGTGGATATGTAAGGCTGTGTGCTGTACATGGCTCTGAGTGTCAGCCCCTGTACTAGGATGAAGCTCCAGTGACTACAGCAGCAAGTGGATTAATCACACAATTTTATCGGCTGCCTTCCTTTTCCTGCCATGCTTTCCAACTCTCCCATCAGTGTTTCCCTCACCTTTCAAATAAATTATTTGCATTCAAATCCTTGATTCGGAATCTGATTTCCTGCAGGGTTTCCCTAAAGAGTGTTCTAATCTCTGGGGTAATTATATTTCTCACTGTAAATTGAGAAATTAGTGTTCTGGTGTATACATTGGTCTTTTACTAGTTTGATTCATGGAAGTCTCTTCTACTTGGGGACACAAGCAATTCTGTATAGAAGGACAACACAGAGAGTGGGGACACGCAGAGCCAAGAATCAGTCAAACAATAACACTGTGGGATATTGTCTTACTTCCCAGTGAACATTTGATCTCATCTAACAGGAGATAGATTTGTTTTCATCTTTGATTTCCTCCCCAAAGCCAGAGACAAAGAGAGATTTCATGAAGGGAAAATATGTAAAATACTAGGTATAGAGATATAACAGTTTTCTACAATATCAACCATTTCAACCAAGTCACCAAGAAGATGACAGTGACAGTCAGAGCAGAGATGTGTATATAGAACTTGAGAATTAAATGAATTATTTTATGTCATGTTCTTAATAAACAAAAAAAGACTATAATCTACTTAGATATTTTTGGTAATTAATACCAGTGAAGGGAGAATCTAACCTAAAAATAATATTGGCATAGTGTGAAAACTGTCTGATGTCACTCTGGGAGAAACTGTGGCATAGGGAAAGATCTGTGAACTGGACATCAGAGCTCAAATCCTGGGTCTAACACTTTTTAGTTATGGGACGTTAATTCCTTCAATCTCACTCAATTTTTCATTTGTGAAATGAAGAGAGCAGAAACGACCTTAGGGTGGCTGCCATAAAGACAGCATAAGATAAGCCACTGGCACCACAGTTATATAAAAGCACTTTTTCCCTTGCCTCACAGAGAAAGGAAAGAAGGAAATATTTTTAGTCAAATTACGAGTGTTTTACAGTTGGTTAGAGAATGAATAGGTAGATGATTAATACAGATAGATAGATAGAGATGTCAGGGAGATGGTGCTCCAGCATTTCTAAGTAGGACATGCATTTTGGATTTTCTCAATACTAGTGCTAAATGCATCCTAATAATTACCTTGGAGAGATACAATATTATTTTAATATGATTCCACATCCAATTTACCTCATTTGTACTGAAAACCTGGAAGGAGCTGTAATCCTGATGCATCAGTCTCTACAATCTCAAGCTTTTCGAGACTGAAATGCAAGACTAATGTTGAATCACACTCCCTGGATGATGCTCAGGTCAGTATTCTGCTTCTGGGACTTGCATTTTTGCTGTTGTCTTTGCTGACTACCTTCCATCTGCCTCATTCTGTCTTTGGACAGTTTATTACTTTCCATAACCTCTTGTTTGGGTCTGTGAGTCATCGTGGAAACTGTGTGTCCATCTCTCATGATTTTGTAGTTAAACTTAGACCATAATCTTACCACTTTTTTTTTTCAAGTTTGTGGGTGATACTTTCCCCCATAATTGTTTATGAGTAAAGTAATAAATATCATGTTAAAGTGTTGACCTGCAGTAAAGCCTTTTGCTATTGATAAAATTTCATAGTCCTTCATTCTCAGTTTAGACTCAATGATCTTTTGTTGATAGCCTACTGAGAACTTTCACATACCTCCACAGATCAAGAGTTCAAGGAAATAAAGGTCATTACAAACCTAATTGTATATTGCTTTTAGATTTTTGTTTATCTTATTTTTAACAGCAATTTTTAAAAGGGTAAGTCAAATAAGAAAGGCAGGAGAAGCGAGTTGCATGCAGGTAGCGTAGTGAGAACTGTTACCACCTCCACAGACCACACCGTCGAGGTCCTCACAGCGGCGATCATCGCACTCACACGTCTTGCCATACACCCTGCGGTCTCCTGGAGGGTAGCAAGTGCACTTGCCACATTCGCATTTACCTGAAGAGTGTAAAGAGAGAGCACGTGCATTAGAAGAGTCACAGAATCTGTAAGGCTTTCAAGAAAACAAGCGTACTATCAAACCCAAACCTCTCCTGCACCAGTCCTAGCATAGCCTGTAAAGAGTTCAGCAAATAACTTCTCTAACCACCCTAAGGTAAGCTGAAGTTCAAGAACAAATGCCAAGGAGGTTGGAGCTGAAGTGATGACAGCTGTTTTGGTATTTGCATTCGCTACTCTCTACTTTTTGTTTCATTCAACTTTGAAGAATAATTCCATTAAGAAACTCTCTGGCTATTTCATACTCAACTTAGTTTGATGATACCATTTAGCATAGCAATCAATTTTATATATTTTAACATAACAATCAATTTTATGTATTTTGACATAGTTTAGCAAAATGTGGTCTTTTTGCATATTTTTATTTTGGGTTGATCTGCTACATGAGGAAAAAGATGTTCCTAGGTACATTTCAATGTGATATTTTAGCAATTATTTGTAGTCAATCTTATAGTTCATAGAACTCACTTTAACATGGAGCATATGTTAAAGCACATGACCTAAATATACTTTATTATTCTTGGCTTAAAATTTAAAAGCATAAACATTTTTGCAGGGCTGGCCGGCTGCTCGGTTGGTTAGAGCATCACGCTAATTAATACAAGGTCCAGGGTTCGATCACTGTACTTGCCAGCTACTAAAAACAACAACAAAACAAAAACAAAAAAACATTTTTTGGACTAAGTTTGGTTCATAGATTGGGAATCCCTTAACTAGCACCATTGTGATGACTTTCATCTTTATCTCTTGAGCTGTTATTATGTGACAAATACTATAATTCCTTGCATTACATCACTTAGTTTTCATAATATCACGTATTGACTAGCATTATCACTGCCACTTTACCAAACAGGAAACTGAGACAGATTGAAAACAAGTAACTTTCCATGTCAAACTAGCTAGTAAGGGATAGATTCAGAATTTATGTCCATTTCATTAACCTTCAAGTGTGTGACCTAACTATTAAGCCATATTGCATCTTAATATACTCGTAATGCAGCATCAGGAGGCTAAGAGAAAGTAAATTCCCTTTTGTCTGAGGAAGGAACCAGCACTGGTTTGCCAGAAATTCAGCTGGATGACAGTGCTCCGAGACATCTGTTACTCTCTGTCATTAGCCCAACCATCATAATTACACACCCACTGACAGGATCATAAGCCGCTTCAGGGCTGACCCTGCAATGCTGTTAGTCATTCTGTTGCTGCACTTGTATCTTGTTAAGGAAATTCTGAGTTGGTAGATGATGGAGGAAAGGAAAATTAGTATTTAGAATCATATAATTTCAGAGCTGTAATTAAAGTTAATCTAATGCAGTGATTCATAATCTTTTCTGGCAGAAGTGGTGGGGTCACATTCCCTTTGAGAATCTGGTGAAAGATATGGCAATACATAGTGTTGTTCTGGCTGCCCTTCAACAAATCTCTTTTCCTAGTTGGAGGTTGTCCCAAGTTCAGCAGGAGACAGGGGCTGCCCTCCCCTAGTGATAGTCCCTCTTCTTGTACTCTGGCGGCCAGAATGGGAACACACCAGATGCTCTTGGCCAGGGCTTTGATTCTTGAGGGGAAAAGCCAAGGCACAGAGTCTGGCGCAGAGTGAAAGAGCCATAGCATAGCAGTGAGTGTCGGCAGCAGTGGAGTCCAGCACACAGCGGCCACAATCAGAAGTGATGGCAGCAGGGCCGGTTCTCAGCAATTCCCTGCTGCCCCAGGTTGCTGCAGGAGCTGATGGCTCAAACGTGCATTCTGAGCTCAAACCCTTTTAATAGAAACCTTTTATCCCAGTCAATGAAGTCGGTTCCTGTTGTTTGCAATGAAGAACCTTAACTGAGGGGGGGGGGAGAGTGTTGCGGGGGTAGGGAGTTGGGGAGATGTTGGCCAAAAGATACAAAATTTCAGTTAGAGAGGAGGAATAAGGTCAAAGATCTGCTGTACAACTTGGTGACTATTGTTAATAACAATGAACTGTATTTTAAAAATCGCTAAGAGTAGATTTTAAGTGATCTCATTATGAAAAATGGTAACTATGTGAGGTAATGCATATGTTAATTAGCTATTTTTTTTTTCTTTTTTTTAAAAGATGACCGGTAAGGGGATCTTAACCCTTGACTTGGTGTTGTCAGCACCACGCCCCCCCCCCCCCCTAACTGGCCATCCAGATAGAGGGATCCAACCCCATGGCCTTGGTGTTATCAGCACCACACTCTCCCGAGTGAGCCACGGGTCAGCCCCTTAATTAGCTATTTTAGCCATTCCACAATTCAAAACATCATGTTGTACACCACAGCTATGGTCAATTAGAAAATTAAACTAAATTTTTAAAAAATGAACCCTAACTGGTAGAACTCTGATCTCTCTGGAAAAACAAATTAATGCATTTTTTTTTGGGGGGGGGGGATAAAATGTCAGGAGCATCCATACCTTTCCTCAATTTATTTAATATATGAGGAAACTCAAATGATTTGAGTTAATCATTTGGCTAAATGATTTGCCTAAGGCCAGCTAACTAGATGTCAGCCGTGTTGGTGTTAAAATCTAGGTTTTCTGTGCCGCAGTCATTTTGTGATGTGCACAAACATCCTACCGCTCCTCATGGGTGGATGTGTGAATGATTCCAACACTGCAGACTGTGGAGAGGAAGAGGCAAGCTATCAGCCATCAGCAGTGTGGTCTGGGAAGGTCAACTGTTCCTTCATGGACAGATGTGGGAAACCGCCATCATCGACAGCATTCTTCCTGAGAGCAATTCATTCCCAGTCGAAAGATAGAATCAGTTTTTAAGTTTCAGGTCATATGTATTTATGGTAACAAATTTATTTTCCTTTTAAGGCACACTGTAATTTTCTTGAATTTGCATGATGAGTTTCTGTGCCTTATTGATAATGGACAATTTCTGTCTTGCATTTCCTGTATAAGGTTGTTTAGTAAAATGTTAATATCCTGTTCTAGGAACATTTTCTTTGCTGATAGATTATAATTCACATGTCTTTTTTTCAAATGTCAGAGAATGGCTAACCATTTTGCAATTCCTTTTTTTTTTTTTTTTGCCATGTATCTATTTTAAGTTTTTAAAATGACATATTAAGGCAACTATTATCTGAATTAATTTTATGCATGCAACACTAATATAATTTATAGGATATAGTGGCTTCTGATGGAAAAGCAAAAAATCATATGCCAGGAAAGGCTAATTTATTGCAGATAGAGAGGTAAAGAAGAGTAAATTTCTCATGCAGTCCACATTTTAGAGAGCATTATTTTGCTCCCTCAGTTCACAACTTTGGTTTAGTCACTACCAACTTTGTTCCAGTTACTATCATGTGCAGGTACCTGCCAGGTAAATTTCTAGCCACCCCTCAAGGTCTAAAGTAAATTTCACCAAATCCGTGACACTTGCACCCTCCAACTCAAACACCTTCACAAACACAACAGAAGCAACTGCACTTTTTATGTGTCTTCACAATGTTTTAAACCAATATTTATTGAATGGATGCATTAAACTATAATCATATGTAAATAGCTTAGTAACATTTACACAATTCATGAGCTTTAATTTGAAGTAGAATATCTCTCCTGAAATATATATGCATTTCCAATTGCCTGAATACCTTTCTCTGTGTTTTCCACAGTTAGATTAATTAAATATATGTCCTACAGCAAATTCATCATCTGTATGCACAAACCTACCCCTCTTCCTGGGTCCTTTATCTGGGTGAATTTCACCATCGTTCAATATGTCACGGAAGCTAAAAAAACCTGATGGCATATTTGATTCTTTCCTTCCTTTACTTATCTATTCTCATTTCAATTTGAAATTCACAAAATCCACTTTCTTAAAACATGCATATAATTATGTAATTCACTTGTAAAATTACCCCATGATGGCCCCACATGACCTTCAAGGCAAAGATCAAATTCTTCGGCAGAATTCTCCATGCTCAGTTGAACTCACCTTTCCAAGCATATATCCAATGATCATGGTGCACTTGTGCTCACTTACGTGCCCTATTTCTTCCCTCTTTTGTGCACACTCACACTTTCTGTGTAAAATCCTACCCAGTATTCAATAGCCAGCTCAAATCTATTGTCCCCTCTGAAACCTTCCTTGCCACCCTGTTCGGTTAGCTGGCAGAGCTGCTCCCTCTCTCTGATCCCACAGTACTTTGTTCACAGAACTAGTAGAGCACTGAACACACATTTTATACTAAATAAGTGAATGCCTGAACTCTATTACAAAAGTGAGATATTTATCATCCAGACTAACATTGAGATTTGTATCCTGTTAGCAGCCAGCAAATTTCTCCATTGATATAGTAGAAAAACACTAACATACACATTGGTCTTCTTTGTAAACAAGTAATTGAGTCCAATCTCCTCTTTATTTATAAAATGGTTTTATTATTATTCCAATGATTGTTTTAATGTTATGGAGATATACCGTGACTTCTAAAATGACTATCAAATTAATATTTTCATAAATAAGAACAAAGGATAATGGAATTCTGAATTTCCAGTGCTAAGTACTATTTATACAACATATTAAGAGAATAATCTAAAAGAAGAGATGCCTAGGCATAAAAATAAACCAAGTAATTTATAAAAAGAATTCAGAAGCAAAATTCAGAAGGATAGAAATAACTGTGTGAGAGAAATTAATTCAGTCAACATCATCAACATCATCCAACCAAAACTTATCTGAAATTTACTCTATACTAAGTCTGTCTATTCCTATTAAATTTTAATAAAGTAGATAATCTTTAAGCACATGCAAAAGGTCAGCCCAATAATATTATTTTATAAAGGACTTCACTCTCTACGAATTATATTCTAAGGCTTATATTATACACTAGCAAAGAAGCATAATGAGCTAAGGCAGATATCTAGAAGTTCTGATCAAAATAAATTCTACCAAAACATATCAAATATGTAAAATACAGAAAAAC